TTTCATCATGAAATATGCTATACTATAATTCTGAATAGTTAACCAGAGTGTCACTTTTGGAGTATTCGTGCAATTGTGGGAAAGACTGCTTACTTACAGTTTGTAGGTCATTTAAATCAGGGAAAAAAAACCTCTTCTTCGGAATCTACTTAATTAGCAGATATCGCAGAGCACGGCAACCCTCCCTGTTTTCTTAGAAAAAGGAGGAGATGTTGATTTGCCATGAAGCTTGTTACAAGCCATCTCATCCATCTCTTCGAAGCAGTTTTTTTCAAGCTGAGACAGTTATCTGTATGTAGTTGCCAAAATATTAGTAAGTCAGGAATTAGAGTGAAATAGCATGAGTAATATCATCCTCGCCCTCTTGGACACCATTTATTGATTCCAAATTTTTGACCTGTAGCTTACAAGTGCCATTACGCTGCCAGAAAAGAATGAGCCTCTCCTTCAAAGCGCACATTAGGGCTCTTGATTAATAGAGGAAATGTTACACACTGAAATGAAAAAGTGAAAGAAATTAGACATTTATTGTTTTCCGTTTTTCGCCAATTTGGGACATGACCCTTTTTTAATGCAAGGGATTACTATGTGTTGTCTCTGTGAGTCATGTTCAAGGAGTGATGACATGTAATGAAGAGCACAAATTCTGTCTTGGGTCCTGCAGTATTCTCAAGCACTCTTGGGGTATTTAGCAAAAAAGGTTTTGGGGTGTGTTTTCTTCTGTTATTTCCTTTTTCAGTACATATCCATGAGGAAGCAGTCATGTTACACAAGTCTGAATGTTATCAGACAAAAATGAGAGTATATAACCAGCTTGAAATGAAATAACAGGAAAAAACAGATAAAATGTACTACAGTAGTTCTTAAACTCGCAAAGATTCCCGTCTTCTCTCAAGGTCAAACGTACTTTTTTTTTAAGGGACTCTGAGGAGAAGTTCAGTTTTTCTTAATTTTCGGAGTTCAAACTAATGGTGATGACCAAATTCTAAAATTCTTAATTCTTATAATGAAACTGGCTTCAAACTGATTGTGCCACTTAGCAAACATCATGATCAGAAGTTCCAGGAAGAAATACTTGTGAATAATGCACGTGTATGGGGACTTCTGGTGTGGGAAAAGATGTAGAAATGTTGCTCTGAACAGACTCAGTTAATAATACATGAAACCACAGGACACAAAGCTGTCTGACAGTATGAAAATCTGGATTAGACGAATTAACATGATCTCCCTGCATTAAGTATTGGTGTTACTGCCACACGTTAAACTCACTGAGCTCTGAACAGGAACATAGGTCATGCTTTTCCACAAAAAAAGTGGATCACTGCAATTTCTGTGGTGTCATTTGTGTAGTGAGTGAATGTTAATGTTTTTTGCCATCTATAACCTCATTCTTTGCATTTTTTTTGCAGTTTTACACATTAAACCCGGCAGCTGTATTATAATGTAAACTCTTCATTAATCAGTGAGAAATCGTAACTTCTGTTAGTTGCTTCATTGGCATTGCAATCCATAGAATCAATAATTGAGTTCCATCGAGGTTATTTTTTGTTCATTTCTCTAAAACTTTTCTTTTCCTTTTTTTCTGTAGTTATTGCATATTGACAGCAGCTCGCCCACGTCTCGGCATAAAAACTAAAATCATTACTCATGGAAGTGTCAAACAGTGCACACACCTACAAAAATTTGAAGTGGAGTATTGAAATGTTGAATTTGTGTTTTTTTTTTCCTGTCAGCCCACATTGGTTCAGTGGGATTTCATTCCAAATTCTAGAGGCAAAAAGGGCCCAGCGTGTCTCCTGCTTTTAAAAACACAATTTGTTTAGTATAATATTGACAATATTTTCACAATATTTACCAAAAGTTTCAACGTATCTCGACATATTATGAAGTGGTTTGATGAGTCTTGATGTCCCACTATATTTTTGCCAAGCTACAGTAAGTTACCCTACTTTGCCTGGTAACAGTGACCTTGATTTACTTACTGTTGAGATCACATCTTTTTTGGCACCTGGCATGTCCTCTTTCACCTGATTTTAAAAAAATGGAAATGGTTAATGTGAGCCCAGAGGTGCTTTCTTTCAAAACAAAACATTTTTTGCAGTGGGTAATTTAACAGTTTTAGCAGTGCGAAATGTGAAAGCACTGATTGTAACAGAGCTGTTATTCTATTATAAAGGCTAGTATTGGTGTTTGATAACATAATCCTCTGGATTTTATATTTCTTCTGTTTATAACTCTATAACGTTAGAAACCAAATGCACTTTTTACATAAGCACTGAATTAATACACTCTCAATGTACTTGGCTGAGGAGCCAGTGGTTCCACATACCATCTGTGGAAATATGACTAAACACCTCTAAATCAGACCCCCCCATAAAGTCATTAAAACAAACATAAAGTACCTGCCATTACACAAAGCAGCGGTTCCCTACTCAGTGTTTCCTTTCAAAGGGCATCAGAAGTAAGAAAAAGTAAACAGCAGACATTTAACATAATTAAAACCTGACTGTATCACCCCGTGATAATAATTCTGAGTGACTAATATTAATAGTTCCAGAGATTAAACACTTATTTGCCCAAACTGTTTGCTTCAATGTGTGAACATCTTGTAAAAAGGGTTTGCGCTCTTATTGAACTTATATTGCAGTCTAGATAAACAAGCAGATAAGCTGATCTGCCTAACCTGGAAGGATTCCCTTTGGAGAATGTAATTTGAATGAATAAGTTTTTAAAGGATGTCTCTTGAAGGTTGCTACTTTTTTAGGCTTCAATGTGGGGGTGAAAAAGCCTGAAAGGTGCCAAAATGTGAAGAACATTCTTTGTGCATTTCATAATTTAAGTATTTTATTAGAAATTTATCAGTACGTATATGTTTTCTCATCTTAGAGAACTCAAGAACACACTGGAGGAATACTATCCTCTATATCTGTATGCATGATAGCACCCTTTTGTTGTCTGTGTGGTCGATCCCTGGGCGCCAGCTGTTGGTGTTCAGACAAGCAGACAAGTTAATTAAAGTGAAATAGCCCTGCATACACTGTGTCCATAGAACAGTTTTGATGCATGCACAGCAGGATGTATGTATGGGGAATAGGCAATTTATCTATGAAACTATTTACCGTTCCTGCATGTCCCTGTTTCAAGGTCTTCTGATGGAGTATATTCTTTCAGGAAAATAAAAAAAATAGTTTCCACCCTCACAGCCAGAAACTCCACTATAAAACGTTTCAAGAATTTAAGTGATCTGCCTCAGAAAACATTTTGATCTTTTTCCATTTTTATTGATTTATTAAAAACTTAATGGTCGTGGACATTGTTTAAACAGTGTATTTCATTCCGTGCAAAATAAAGTACAAAGGATGATAATTTATTTTTGCTGTGCAGTAATTCTGGAACTTTTGAGCAAGTGGTTATTTGGCACGTGTGGCCCATTTTTTGATGTACGGGGTCTTGGAGTCACGAAAAGCTTGACTCAAAGAATTGTATACGCATGTGTTTGACCTTGGCATAAGGTGTGACACAGGCTTTTGACAGCTGTTCACTTCAGAAAGCCCCCCCAAAAATATGCTGCTTTGACTCTGAAGAAAAAAGAAAGGGTTTGACAAATAGTTGTGATGTAAGCTATGGAGCTTCAGGGAAAAAGCCAAGTCACTCAGGAAGCAGTCATGCCAAGGCAAAGAGTCTTGGAGCCTTGGTCTAGCCTCTCTGGTGCCAGCGATGTGTAGGGGTCAGTCACAAGACATGGTTATCTTAACTCAGCCTGTCAGGCATTCACTTCTCAATTGCTAGACGTGACAGAATTAGAATTGTTTTGCTGGTGTAGCGCTGAGATTATTGTATCTGAAAATGCCTACTCTGTGCTAATAGTTTAAAAAATTATCAGAGTGAACTGGCCAGAAAGGTTTTCTTTTTTTTATGTCGTTGTGATGTTACTGCCAGGGGCTGTTGCTGACTAGTACCAATCCATTAAGTATGCAGACAGTAATTTTTCTGTGTCTCTGCTCCACTGCCCACTCTAGGCTTTTAAATAGCAATGGGGAGACAGCAAAGAAAAACTTCCCCCATGCTTTCAGCACTGAGCAAAAGACAGCTTGTCTTCATTTGTTCACCAAGTGGGTCTAATAACTTGCATTCCCTGGTATTCTTTCTGATGTACGTGTAGAAATTGTTTGTTAATTTTATGTACTGTATGGATGTGAATATACATGTATTTATGTGATTTATCAGAACACATTCTTTCAAAAATGTTTTCAGTATGTGTGCAAATGTCTTACACATTTTAAGCACAGAGTTACGGTATATGTATGCTATGAGCAAAGAAAATTCACTCAAAGTGAAATGGAAAACTAAGCTGTATTAGAAAATAATGTTTTCTAATACAGGTTAGTTTGGAAGAGAAGAAAACAAGCTTTTTATTTATGAATCTTTAATTCACATTGAGCAGAATCTTCAGAAATGCAATCACAGCTGTACATGAGCTGCCACTGTCAAATGTAGTAGTGTTTAATCCATATCCACTATTGACGAGGTTTAATATTACAGTTGTATTGTATCCACACATCTCTTAAATTGATTGATTTACAGTAAGTAAGATGTACTTCATTAAGGAGAATTAACTAACCATACAGTATGTATGCAACATTTAATGTGAGAGACAGGTTTATTTCAGTGGGATGGTGCTTAGTCTTAGCATGTTACTAGAAAGGTATTGGTTTTAATAAGGAAAGATTTAAGTACATCGATACATGCAGTATACTGTCGATAGAGTATTTGACAATCCATCTATATGTCTGTATATTTAATTTAGAAAACATAATACCACTTGTTTTTCTTAGTTAATCACCACCAGTGGTAAATTCCTACAGCAGTTTTCATTTTGTGTAAATTCAAAGCTGCAAAGTTCCTTCAGCTTTCCTTTATAGTCTTTTCACATTCAGAGGAGGGCATCCTAATTGTAAAACACTCATGATATCACATGTTTCTCTTCTGTGTGTTCCCAGGTGGCCTGTGGACCGTGTTCACTTTAGGAGGAGCAGGAAGCAAACCAAACCCTGACCAGGAGCAACTCCTACCCCTATCGAATCAGAGCCTGCTGTTGCTGTTGGTGCTGGCCAACCTTACTGACAGGCCGGACTGCCCCAACCCTTACCGACAGGCAATTATGTCCTTCAAGAACACACAGGGTTAGTACCTTTTGCAGGGTTGAGTTTTCTCTAGTCAGGACCATTTAATTGTTCATTTGATCTCAGCTCAGTAAACCTCAATAATGAAGTCAACGAAACCTCTGGCCATTCCATTTCAGGATTACATAATCTACTCTACCTAAATTTCCACCTTAATTTAATTGACAGAGCAGTATCAAACTTCCCCCCTAGTGCGCTGTGTAGTGAGGATACAGGTGCAAAAAAGGTTGCTGCACTTCACTGGTGAGTGATGTGGGTCCCCGCCCGTGTTCTTTGGGATTCTCTGGGATAAAAAAACAAGGAATTGTCATCACCATCATTGTTACCTATTGACCTTCCATTTTGTATGATGAACCAATTGTTTTTAAAGGAGAATTTTCAATAACTTTTATATATTCAAGTTGAAAACCTTTGAAATATGCACCAACACTTGCGACTCTGCTGTGAAGAAAACATCTTAAATTTTCTAAATTCTACGTTGAAAACCGATTTATCACAACACACGCTTTCAAAAGTGTTTTCAGTTTTAGATCCTAATACCCTCAAAGTCTGTGCCATTTTCGGCATCTCTAAGGTAACATAGCCTGAATTTCCTGTTGCTCTGTAGCAGAGTAATAGTGTCAGCACTAGGACAGGCTACACTGATACAGCCCAGTACTATAGGCAACTGATCATACATTGCAGATAAGTATTCAGAGGCCAGAGCCCACCTGCAATAAGGGCTGAATGGTTTCTCTCATTTGTGACTTTTCTAGTATTCTGTCCAATCTCCACTTATTCATTTCCTGATAGGTCCCGGTTGTATTTTGCCTACATTCTCATCTCTGGCAGCAGTTCAATAGTGCTACAGACTGGGTCTTAACCCACTGTCTCGAACTTATTTGGGTCATCTGTCATTTGTCTGAATTTTTTTTTCTTACACATGCATGTTTATTGAGGTTCCTATTCTCTTAGTCTAAGTACAATGTATTATGTAAAATAATATGTGCTTTGAACCTAATCTGTCTAGATTGAAGCTGCTTGTTATTTTGGTTTTGCAAAGGAAACAACTTGGGGGCTAACTGCATACACACTTCAGAATGCTCTAGGACCTAACTAATTAAAAATGATCATTTTACATTAGCCTTAATGTTTAAACAATAAAAAAATAAAAGACTTGTGTGATTTATGTGAATTTCTCAATAGGTCTGCTCATTTATCAAACAAAAAACGTATTTCTAAAATGGTCTGCAGGTGCTGGATATAAACCTTGATCCAAGTCTGTTTTGTAGTAATTTTCCCATAAGTCTGTGTGACATAGGATGAAAGAAAGATTATCGAAAAAGATGCATGTCTAAGGACTTCCTGACAGTGCAAAGGGACTGAGTGCATGCACTCCCCTGGGGCACCTTGCAGCCCTGTGCAGTAAATAAGCCATTTTTCTCTGTAGTCAAAGCTCTGTTCTTATAACCTGAAGAGAAAATGTATAGTATCCACTGTATTCAGTATTTTGTGAGTGCATTTAAAAACAAAACATTTCTCTTCTGAAATAATAAGGATCAGATAGCCAAGGCAGAAGTTCCATTTGTTTATGTGTGATGACTGGCTCACATTTGCACTCGCTGTGCTTCCCTTGATTAAATAAGATGTCAATTTTGCAGTGTGTATGCATTTTGTTTCCTTATATTCTTTTTTTTTATAATAATTGGAGGTAGCTTTAAAATAAATCTGCATAATTCAAACAGAATCAACGCAAAGTGAGATGAGGGTTCCAATTAAATTTGAGTACAATGCATATAAGGTCAGCTTTTATTCATCGCCAGTTGTACATTGACATTTTTCTGCATTTCAGATACATCTTCTGTCCCCTCTTCACATCCCCATACTTTCCAGATCAACTTTAATAGCCTCTACACAGCACTCTGTGACGGGCAGAGATCAGACCAGGCCACACTCCTCCTTTACACACTGCTTCATCAGAACACCAATGTGCGAAACTACATGCTGTCGCGCACAGACATGGAGAACCTTGTAAGTACACTGTTATCTCATCACCTCTCATAAAGGATATGTTTAAAGGACTTTAACAAACCTTGCCTGGTAATTGTCTTGGGAGAGAAAGGGCATTAACACTCAAAATAAAATATACATACATACTGTGTCACAAAACAAGAGAAGTTCGGTGAGTTTGGTTTTGACTATAATATATTTCAGGCCTCGCATTAGCACTATTTGTTTCGCCCTTGTTTTGACTGAACCAAACTTTTGCATTCAGTTCCTAAGATTCAGAGTCTTATTTAAATCTGCTTATTATATATTTAGTCCTGTCTTTTGCTCTCATGAACAGTTGTCTAAATAAGAAGTAAATAGGAGTTTTCAGATCACTTGATGTTATAGAATCCTTTAAAAAACTAAGCCTGTGTTTAGTTTTTTAAAGGATTGTTTTTATTATAATAGATGTTAGAAAATGAAAAGGGTACAGTAGGTCTTCATCTTTTAAACAGTAATGTATGCAATGAAAGCCCTTTAAAACTTACAGCTCTTTATTAAAGTTTGAGCTGTTTTGAAGCAGTAGCTTAAAATCAACTGTTGCATTGTGCTGTACAGAGCCCTGTACATCTCAAAGTCACAGCTGCACTTTCTCCTGTTTCACGGCGCATTTGGGGCACTGCTGTCCTTACTGTCTGCAAGCTATATGAAGGTGCAAGTTTATTCAGGGTCATCTTAGTCATCCGCTTTGTCTTTGGCATTCATTGTTTATCTCTGACATAATGGTTAATTTCAGACAGTTGGCACTTCATCTGGAATTTTGCGTTGGCAGATGTGATCTTATCAGGTTTTAAGTGTATTAAGCTTAGCGTCTGCAGCTTCCGCAGTGATATCTTATAAGACCCACCTGTGGTTGAGATCAGTTCCATTGGCTCCTGGATGTTCTGTGCGTTTGTATTGGATAAACCAGCGACGGACGTAAGAACCCCTAAAAGCCTTCTATTTTAAGCAGAAAAAATTATACATGTACATATTTGTATATCGTCATCCAAATAATTTAGAGTGCTACATATGTTAACAAGAAAGCATTTATTTTCATGGCTTAACTATATTAGCACGGTAATGCTAAGGAATGTTACTCATTCTGCAAGTACTTGAGAATGATGGACTGGTGCACAAAATAGTTTATGACATTTCAGTTAGGGGTATCTTGCGTCCCTGTTTTAATGGTGAGCCAATTATACATCTTCATTGTGATTTTAGCTCACATTGGGCAATTTCATCCACAGTTTGCCCGCAGTGAAAACTAGGCCTTTCAAATTTTGAAATGCTTCATTTCACAATAATGCATGGTGACCTATTTTAGTCAACACATTAAAGAAAAAATATTTCTGCTCCAGAATCACTTCAGAGAAGAGCAATCAGACACATTCTGGGAGTTAAAGGAATGTCCTAGACAGACTGAAAGAACTGAACACTTTAATCTTCAATTGAATAAAGACTAAGGAGACCCAATGCAATTATTCAGAACCCTAAGAGGCATTCACAAAGTCAACCCAGTGGACATCTTTAGAATGAGCAGTGAAACATAAACCAGATAACACAAGTAGAAACATGTTCAGGTGTGTTTAAGACTTAAAACAGAAGGAACTTATTTACCGAAGTGGTCGTGAGAATATAGAACAAGCTATCAAGCCATGTAGCTGAAGCCTATACTCTGTCTTCCTTCAATTTCAAGCTGTAATGCAAGAGGTTGCACATTTATATTTAGTAAAAAAATATGTATTGTGTAAGAACAAAATTAATTAAACAATATTTCAACAGTTTATGTCAAGTAGAGTCATGACATGCACGTGAAGGTAATGTAAACTTCACAAACCTTTTGCCATAAGGGCTGTTACAGACAAGTGGAGGCAATTTGGCCCAACTGACTCATTTGCTTATTTATCGAAGGATCTCATCCCAAAGGGTAAATCCCATTCTGGGCTAGTATATTCTGGCATTTCTGAAGTTGCCGTTTAGTTGGAATTTCTCAGTTTTTCACCTGACCTGCTAGATTTCTCAGGCTGCAGGTGTATAAATGTCTGCTTCACGTTGCCCAGGTGGGCACTGGACTGTAGTTAAAGTAAGCCCCCCCATCATATGTTAAAGACTATGGGATCGATCGGGATGAAAATAATTATAAATAGGTGCAAGAATTATTTATAAGATCTGGTTGGCCAAACTCTTTAAACTTGCATTTAAAAGAAAACCATTTCAGGTCACACCAGAAAGGAATAATAGTTCAACATAGAGTTGTCTTTTAGTACTGACATCCTGTACACACACAGGATGTGTGCTGTTGACATTGGATTTTGACTGCAGTCTTCTCTCTTTCATGCAGGTGATGCCCATTCTGGAGATTCTGTACCATGTAGAGGAGAGAAATTCTCACCATGTCTACATGGCTCTAATCATTTTGCTCATACTGACAGAAGATGATGCCTTCAACCGATCCATCCATGAAGTGGTGAGTATTTATGCACTTTGAGAGGAAGCTTTCTCACTATTGATTTTTCCCAACTTTGAGGCTAGAATTTGTCAGGAACTGAGCAGAAAAGTGGTAACATTTTGATATTGTGTTTGTTGATATCTTAAAGTTATCTGTCTCTTAATTTTTATTCTGCACAGTGCTGACTTGTTTAATTTCTCTGTCACTACATAACCTGCTTGCACAGATGTGAACATACACTTCTAATAGATCAATGTGACATGTGTTAGTCTCAGGAGGACGCTAATAATCTCCTAGACAAACCAGGAAAAATGGCAGTCTAGTTCATTGTGAAATGTACAGATGCTAGAATTTTGTTTGTACCCCCCAAATATAAACATTACTTGTTCAGTATGATGTGTTTTGTCTGAATGTGTTTGAAATAGTAGTTTAAATAGTTCCAAGCAGTCTGGGATCAATCAGCTATTAGTAACCAAATGAGTTAGATGGTTTGAATGGATTCTTCTCGTTTACCTTTTCTGCTCATATTTAAATTATAGAAAAAAATACAGTATACCAATACATGTAAAAGGCATTTACAGTATAAGCTTTTTGTTGAAAAAGTTCATTTTCATTTTTTTAACCAAAATTATTAATTTAAGATCATAAATGACATTTACCATCTTTTTAGAACCTACTGACCTCCACCACTCTGTTGGATCTGAGGAGAGTTTAGTTTACTAGATGTACTGTATGGAGACTTTTTATATTATAAAAAGCTGTTTTGAGGAATAAATGTTTGGAAAATATGCACAATTTTGGCTTAAATACAGAGTACAAAACATGCATTTAAGAGTCTTTTATGCACCAGCGCAATTTTGGTATAGCTTCAGATCATACAGCTCTCTTAAAGCAGACTTTGAAACCTTAAAAGCACAGTTTAGTTTTCCGAATTTAAGGACCAGACCTCTATAAAACCACTGAGAAAGGGGTTGTGAAGGTGGTGTGGTTCTCCTCTAATGAAATAATACACATAATGTTCAAAACAGCATGCTTAAACTGCCTATAACTTATATTAGATTATATATACAAAGTCAAAGAAGAGAAATTGCAAAATACCTTACAGTTAAATAAATTACAGTTTTGCTAGTTTTCATTAATTTTCCCTGATTCAGCTGTGTACTTAGGTTTTTGAAATTGTAGTGACATTATAAGTCAATAAAAGCCCTATACATGTCTGTATGATTTGCTGGTTGTATGTTTGCCATCCTTTGTACAATCTTTTTCTACTTTTTTTTTTGCAAATTACCTCGAACAATAGGCTTCTTATTAGATTTGACCAACAATACATTGTGTGAATGCAAGCTATCCTCAACCATTACCTTCAGGGTGTGCTTTCCTAAACTGTGGTATACTGCTCAAAGGTGGACTGCCACACAGCCCCAGGCAGTACTTGCAGGCAACTCATTCCGTATACTGAACAGAATCTTGACTTTTTTCTCTCAAAATCTGCGACCCTTATTCTTATGTTTCAAAGTACATGCTGTGTGAGAAAGATTGTGAAGTGAAATTGTGGCAACTTTTTTTAGTGCTTGATGTACTGCCCTGTGCATACAAAATAACTTGCTTTTTCCTTCTTGTGTATGTCATCTGAGTTTGAAGATGTGCTTCAGTGCAGATTGAATGAGGTAACCTAGCAACAAGAAGCGTCCTCCATTTACAACTCTGGAAAAACAGCAGCAAGCATTTATGGTTTGACCTGGAATCATTCATTTTTAGTAAACACAGAAAGCACACTGGGGAGAAAAGTGATATACTCAACATAAAATGAAGCAGTTGAAACCTAACAGTAAAAGAATCAGAAAATACAGTGAAACAGATTCAACAAGTCTGCGTTGTCCTGTACTGGGCCACGTGAGCACAGCTTACCAAGCTGTTGTGCTGGTTATTTTGCACTGCATATCCTCTGGTTTATGTGAAATTTTTAGTTTAAAAAATATTCTGCAAGAATATATATATATTCTTTAAGGCTGCATTTTTTAAGTATCTACTTGTCTTTTTAACTCAAGATTCTATCGAAAGTGACACTTAGTTCAAAACAAGGTCTGTTTTAAAATCGATGAACAGGCATGCTAGTACAGTAAGAACAAGTATAAGAACAAGTAATTCAATGTTGAAATATTGAAAGAAGAAGAAAAAAGATTGTGGCTTCACACCTGAAAAAGGTTCCATAGCCCTCACTCTCAGTTTCACACTTAAGGGCTGTACAGCCTTCACACTTGAAGAGGGCTCTACTGATTAACTGTTGTTTATTCTTTCTCTCTGCTCTTCACTGTGAAATTAACCTATCTTGTCCCTTTGTAACCCACATGCTGTGGTCACTGTGGTCACTGCCTACTCAAACTGACCGCTAGTATGAAGTTTGCCAGTTGGGGAGAGGTACAGTTTTTCAGTGGTTAGCATTGCTGCCTTGCAGTTCTGGGGCCCTGTTTTCAATTCTCGATCTGGGCTGCTATCTACAAGTTATTAATTGAAGCTAAATAATTTCAAAGAAAATTTGAAAATTATGATTAGTTTCTTCCCATTTGTAATCCTGAGGTGTTGTATTATTAAAATGATTTCCATTTGGATGAAAAAGAAGAACTTGGCTTATTCATTTTGAATGAGGTAAAGTTGTTAAAGTAGTAAACGCATAATTCTACCCAGTGAGTGCTAATTGTGAGCCCCAGTGCCAGTATCTGTCACACAGCTGTGAACTTCATATATTGGACACAGCTTTGTGTGGCCTAAATCTGAGTTTACAAGTCCCCAAACACTGTTCTATTCTAGCTGAACAGACACAAATACAATTCAAAAGATTTTTTTTCGTGCTTAGGGTAGTGCCTCCATATGCAACTGATGTCAAAAGCTTAAGCACAGCAATTGAAAGGTGACATGCAACAGGTCATTTACAGTAGCTGTGTATTAAAAGTGATAGTTCTGTTATCGTGAAGTGGGGTTGGGAACTTCAGTTCCATGCCATTACAGCATCCACAATTTTATTTATTACTGCATTTATAGCTGCTGACACTCAGACCATAAAGTCTAAGGCCCTTTTCATTGTCTGTTGTGTAAGTGTCTGGCGACAGACCAGACGTTTCACATGTTTTCCACGTCCATTCACCGCAAAAGCAGCTTTGAAGGCGCAATCCATTCTGCCAGTGTCTTGTAGGAGATTCAAAACAGCTTGTGAGCTGTGAAAGAATGTTTATTTTCCATTCTCAGTTTAGGGTTGCAGTAGCTAATTCATTCTGGTTTATGTAATGCTGAAGTAAGTTGGAAGGACTGGAAATATGATTGTATTCTCTGCCTTCTGCTGTTTTGCCTCTATGATGCACATTTTCAGAGGTAAAAGAGCAGTGCAGTTGACTTTTTTATCTTCCCCTCAGCCTCAATATGCTGATGGGTAGAAGTGGGTTCTATTCCAATACCTTTCAATAATACATAATGCTGTGTGATTCTTAGAATTGACAATACTTTTCCCAGACATGCTTGTTTGCTTTATTTAATGTGTGTCTACCTTGCTTTTTCCAACAAAAATCTTTCCAAAAAGTTGGTACATATATTAAAGACTCTACCTTGATTGAGACAATTTGAAGTTTGGTTTAAGAGGCGTCTGTTTTTAGAAGACAATTGGTCTTCCCTGTGGAAAACTTCCTGTGTTTCCTTCCAGTATACCTGTAATGAAGCAGAACAGATTAATTTGCCTTCTAGTGTTGATTCCTCACCAGGAAGTGAGTAGAATAAAACAAAAACATTTCCCCTATCCCACCGTTGTCACCTGTCGTACCAGGTGAAACTCAAGAGTTTCCAGTCAAAGGCCAGAAGACCAGAACAGGAGAATTACAATAGAATTCCATAGACTGTCTTCCTCTGCTCCCCTGACCAGTCTCTAAATTCTGTGCAACTTGTTTCTTTTTGTGATAGTAGTATTTCCTTAATTCTCATTATGATTCTGGAAATAACATAGAATGTTGAAGCTGAAACTAATGCATTAGAAATGGGCAAAAATTATACAGTAATATGATTTTCTAGTTCATGAACCATGGTTATGCATACAAAGGTTTCATTTTTAGGCCCTGTTTTTTAATAAAATAGCATTATTGTAGCAAATGTGATATAGCTAAAACAGCTTTAACAGCAAATTGCATAATTCAATAATGATGTGAAAATAAGGTGTTGACATCATTATGTGAATTATGAAGAAAAACACTTGATCATTGCAGGTCACTTAACCTTTGTTTGGGACTATATAAGAGGAATTTCCACACAGCATAATTCAGTAAGGTACTGTGATCATGCTGATTTGTCCCTTGAGCATAGCTCAGCTGGGCCACAGTGATAAATAGACAAAAAAATGTCAGTAGCAGCTGCTGAATGCTTATTATATTAACATTGTAAATGCAGTCCTGTGGGGAATGTGTACTTACAAATAAGTTAGATCCACCCACAATCACCTGTGAATGCCCATTTCAATAATATTGTTATTTGTTTGCAAACAACTATCTAGAGTGAAGGAACAAGTAATAGGTTATTCCATGCTGAAAAAAAGAAGAAAGAGAACACAACGTTTCAGCCGTGGAGCCTTCTTCAGGTGTGCTCCATGGCCGAAACGTTGTGTTCTCTTTCTTCTTTTTTTCAGCATGGAATAAACCTATTACTTGTTCCTTTGCAGCCTACGCATGCTGACGCAGCTACCCACCTGAACTACTACCGCCTAGAGTGAAGTTCTGTATACTAGATAACAAATGTAAGGTATAAAACAAAAAGAGCCATCTTCCCCATTAAAAAAATTCTCCAATGTTTAATCAACATTTAGTTGTATTTTGAGAACTGTATTGGTATTTTAAAAAGATGAAGTTATACACTCGGATATTTCTATTTGTAGAATTTTAAAAAATGCAGCAGAGGTCATAGTGTACATATCCATGGTACAGATAGTAATGGATGTGCAGTAATAATGGATGAGTATAGTAAAATTTGATGCAAAAAAGCTTACA